ACTTTTTCAAAGTACAACTGTCACTTTTCATTGATTAAACAGTCTTCAGGTGCAGACCCAGCAACAAAACTATGCCTGCAATTGTTTTTTTTTTAGTTCCACCAAGTTAAAAGGAAGAATTGAACCAATCATGCGAAATACAAAAGCTGCAGGAGAAGAGCAGGCAGAACTGAGGGCAGGAGTTAAACAGGTCACCAGCTTAGAGTCCTTATGTTACCACAAATGATCCAAATCTAGACCCCCTTGAATTTCTTTGGCCTTTATTTAGTGCCAGTGTAATGCTGTTAGTCGACTAGCTTTTGTTTATAGGCTTGAATAAATCTTCTATGCTGAAATCTAACGGTTGGTCCTGATTCTTTGTGCCTAACAAAATCTCTGTAAATTCATTCTTCAGCAGGTAGAATCAGGTCTGGTGAACAAGCATGAGGCTTAAGGGTAAATCTTTTCTGACATCGCTAAACTAGATGCTACATATATGGTTATCTGTGTGGAACCGTCTCACCCCAATGGGATTGGCCTCCCCCACCTGCGCCAACAGAAGGGGCATGCTCCAGATCCCATTGGTCGAGGAATTCTGGCTGCTGGGATCTGGAAGAAGAGTCTTTCCTGCCATGGCTTCTGCCCTCTGGAACATCACCCCCCCCCCAGGTGAGAGTCACCCCCATTCTCTCGGCCTTCCCAAAGGGGCTGAAGACCTGGCTCTGGCAATTGGCCTGGAGTTTATTCTGGATGTGATTAATGGAGTAGGATAAGACCCTGCCTCCTCTTTGTGTGCAGTATGCTCCCTTCCTCCCCATCTTTGTCAATTTTAATCAAATTTAGGGTGACTATTTACTGTTTTTATTGACTGTAAGCTGCCTAGGCAGGATGGGTGGCATAGACGTCAAATAAATAAATACACAGATAGTCTTTTCAGAAAATGACAGGTAGATATTGGAAAGTTACTGAAAAGAACAGGATGCACTTGCTCAGCGATGAAAGAAAAGCACTCCAAATGTATTTAGAGATGCTCTATGTTATAATGACAAAGTAGAACTGAAATGCTGCCTTAATTCAAACTGACAGGTCGCCTTTTCAGGACTGGTGGTCCTGCAGGCAACTAAGTCATAGGCTATTTCCCCAGCAATAACTTACGGTGTCATGGCAATCTATCACCAGGAGACGGATTCTAAATCTCTCAGCAAATGCTGAATGAGGCTGTAAATCACCAGAGTGAAAATGACAGTGCTGGACTGACTCTAGTCTAAAAGACATAAACGGTCAAATTCTAATTCTGCTGAGGTTCCCGCCAGTTGAATCTTCTCCAGCCTGGTGCCCAGGAGATGTGTTGAATTCCAGTTATGCACCAGTTATTCCAGCCTGTTCAATCCACTAAACCAGTGGTTTTCAACCTTTTTAATGCCGGGACCCCCAACTGGTTGTAAGTTGAGGACTACTCAACTGGTTGTAAGTTGAGGACTACTCAACCGGTCGTAAGTCGAGGACTTTCCCTGCCTGGGAGCACTGCGCATGCGTGGTGCCGCCCCCTGCGCTGGCCGAGGCAAGGGGCAGCGACAGCGCAGGGCAACCACCGGCTGGGCCACCAGCTAGCCCAGCCCAAGGGAGGTAAGGCACCCGCCGGGCCCCACGTGTGCCAGCAACCCTCCCTGCACCTGCTACTTAAATATTTATTAGTTGCTCAGCAGGGAGGGGTGGAAGCTTCCAGACAGCTCGCCTTTGCTGCAGACAACTTGCAGCACCATTTGCAGAATGGGACTTTTGGCAGGCTCAGCAGGGCAGAGACAGCCTGGACAGTTCCTGTTGGCTTTTGAAAGCCAATAGAATTAGACTCTATTCAAGAGAGTCTATTCTATTGGCTTTCAAAAGCCAATAGAATAAAAGGGAGTAGCACAACTAAGGAAAAGGGGGGAAAAAGTGGCGGACTGCGTTGTTTGGCGACCCCCGTGAAACGGTTGTTCGACCCCAAATGGGGTCCCGACCCACAGGTTGAGAACCACTGCACTAAACAGATGGTGGCAGGAACACTTTTTTGTTTTAATACACACAGACCCAAAATTAAGCCGTGCCTTTATTTTACTGTTTGCACGATTTACTGAACTCAGATCACCTTAGCTGAAATATTCCCTTCTACAAAGCCACTGAAGGTTTCAATGACCTGGTAATTTTTATTTATCTAAACAAACTATTTAAAAAAAAACAACACCTGCTCTCAGGCTTAAAAGAAAACCAAACCACTCTATCAATTATTAACGTAAAAGTTTATTTGGTATTTCTCTAACCTCACATCAGTCTTGAAGTGTGTAAATGTAAGAATACAGATACTGATTAACAGGAAGAAAGTAATTATTGACCCATCATACAAAGGTTGTCCGAACAGTTCAGATATTGTTAAATGGTTTCAACACCGAAACACATAAAAATAGCAAATATAGTCTCTGCTATGTCAGTGGCTGCAGATCTCCCCTTCTTAAAATTTAAAATCTATATCCAGCTTTGTCATGAAAAAAAAACTAATTATCTGTATCTTGGCTCACAACTTACAACTATTGTAAATTTTCAAGGGCTGCAATTCTGGGTATTATCATGATTTAGTTACTTTAATTATATCAATCCCCTCCATCCTGAAAAGATCTTGAACAAGGCGGCAAAATGGTAATCCCCAGGGAAAGAAATTCTGCCCACCCCAGAAGGGGAGGGGAATTACTCTAAAACAATGGTTCTCAACTTTTTTAATGGCGTGACCCCCAACCGGTCGTAAGTCGAGGACTACTCAACCGGTCGTAAGTCGAGGACTACTCAACTGGTGCAGCACCGTTTGCAGAATGGGACTTTTGGCGGGCTCAGCAGGGCAGAGACAGCCTGGACAATTCCTATTGGCTTTTGAAAGCCAATAGAATTAGACTCTATTCAAGAGAGTCTATTCTATTGGCTTTCAAAAGCCAATAGAATAAAAGGGAGTAGCACAGCTAAGGAAAAGGGGGAAAAAAATGGCAGACTGCGTTGTTTGGTGACCCCCGTGAAATGGTCGTTCGACCCCAAATGGGGTCCCGACCCACAGGTTGAGAACCACTGCTCTAAAGATAAGAAGAATGGCTACAGGACTTGGATTTGACCAGTCTAAAGAAAAGAAGAAACAGGGGAGACGTGATAGCAGTGTTGGAGTATCTGAGGGGCTATCACAAGGCAGAGGGGGTCCAGTTGTTCACCAGAGCACCAAAGGGAAAGATGAGAAACAATGGTTGGAAACTGACCAAAGAGAGAAATAACCTGGAACTAAGGAGAAACTTCCTGACAGTGAGGACAATCAACCAGTGGAACAGCTTGCCACCAGAAATCGTGGGCGCTCCATCACTGGAGATTTTTAAGAAGAGACTGAACATTCACCTGTCTGAGATAGTATAGGTCAGTGGTGGCGAACCTATGGCATGGGTGCCAGAGGCGGCACTCGGAGCCCTCTCTGCGGGCACACATACTGTTGCCCCAGCCTCGCCTCCCCCCACGGCCCACTCCTCTCCAGTAACCCCCCTGAAGGAGAGTCACCTCTGATCATGGCCCACGCGGAGCAGCGCAGCCAAGGACATGGCAGCCAGGCAGCGTAGACAAGACTCTGCCCTCATATCCCATTGTGCACAGTTGATGTTGCAGGGTGCGGGGAAGAAGGCGTTACTGCCATAGCACTGCTGGGCTGCCTGGGCGATCTGTGGCGGGCCCTGGAGGTGGTGAGTGGCCCTGCGGGCAGATGAGGCGGGGATGGGGGGGGCAGAGTGGGGGGGGGCAGGAGGTGGAGCGGGGCAGGGCCAGTTCATCACTGGTATAGGTTCTCCTGCTTGAGCAGGGGGCTGGACTAGAAGACCTCCAAGGTCCCTTCCAACTCTATTCTTATTCTATTCCGTTCCATTCCATTCTATTCCATTCTATCATTATTCTATTCCATTCCATTCCATTCCATTCCATTCCATTCCATTCCACTCCACTCCACTCCACTCCACTCCACTCCATTCCATTCCATTCCATTCCATTCTATTCTATTCTATTCCATTCCATTCCATATATTCTATTCCATTCCATTCCATTCCACTCCATATATTCTATTCTGTCCTGTCCTGTCCTGTCCTGTCCTGTCCTATTCTATTCTATTCTATTCTATTCTATTCTTACTCCAGCCAGCAAATCAAAATCTACTTTTGGCATTCACACCCTACACTACAGAGATTCCACTTTTCAAATCCCCCCTTTGCTTTAAGACTGTAAACCTGCGTTGACGGGTGTGTCTGTAGCTGTGTGTATATGTGAGCGAGAGAGACTGAAACTTAAGGACCCCACTGTGCGCTTTACAGCCCCCCCAGCCTATCCGAAAGCCTCGACCTGCACAGATGGAAGAGCTCACACTGGGGGGGGGGGGAGAGCAGTTTTAATCACCGCCTAATTTGCCCAATGAATTCACTCTGCCCAAACTAAAAAAACTCTGGTGACCATCAACGGCCTCTTTTGGGGAGCCGCTTTAAAAGAGTTTAAAAAGCGGAATATTTATTTATTACGGGGGGGGGAAAGCCCGTGTAAAGATTTCTCCAGTGTAAACTGCCCGTGTTGGGAGGCGTAATCCAAAGTCCTCGGAGAGTCCCAAATCGTGGCCCAACGGCGGGGGCCGAGGGAACTGGAGTCCGACGCACCTGAGGCCCCCAGATGGGGAAGGCCGGGAACGGGGAGCGGGGCAGGCAGCCCAGCGCGGGCTGGGCTGGGCTGGGCTGGGCAGGGCAGGGGGAGCCTCTCAGGCCCCGCAGTCCTCCCGCTCCTTCTCCGAGAAATCCAGCCGCGAAGGGGCGGCGAGGCAGGGACACGCGCGCCGCCAAGCCGGGGCAGGGAGTGCCTGGGCGGTCCGGCAACCGTGCGCCCCTAGGGCGGGTCGGCGGGCAGGAGGGGGGGCGCCCGTCCCGGCGGCGCTGGCCCCTCGGACCCCTCCGCCCTCGGGGATGGCCGGCCCTCGCGCGGTGGGGACTCACCTTCTCCCGGACGGGGCTCCTAGCGGCGCGCCCCGGAGCGTCTTCTCGCACCGCTCGTCTCCATCGCCCGCCGCGCCTCTCCGGGTGCGCCCCAGCCGGCCGGCCCCTCCCCGGCCGTCCAGGTGATCCGGCGGGCTGGGCCAGGCGGGGACCAGCCCGCTTCTTCCTCCGCCCCGGCTGCTGGCCGAGAAGGAGCGAGGCGCAGCTCCGGTTGTTCCCCCCAGAGGAGGAAGGGGGAGCGGGTCCTGCGCCCCCCGTTGTCTCCGGCCCGGGCGCCTGGTGGGGAGAGAGAAGAGCGCTGGGAAGCCTGTGCGGAGGCGCCTCTCTCCGTCCTTCGCTGCGAGGCTGCCGCAGGGCTGCAGGAGGGCAGCGATCTGCTCATTTCCCTTCTCCCTCTCCGCCCCGCGGAAGAGTTTGACTTATTAAAACGTACCCAAAGCGTTCGCTTTTTGAGACAGGAGACGGCACTGCGTAATTTCGCCAAGCGTGGAATCATCCAGGAGCCCCACAGCTGTATCACCTTGGTTCTACCCAGATGGCTTCTTTTTTGTTTTTGCATGTCATCTTTTTTTTTTAATTATAAATTTTTACAATTTTACAATAAAAACCCCTTCCCAAATCCCTCCCAACCCACCCCAAAACCCTCCCCCATTCTTCCCAGAACTGAATACAGGGTTAACTAGAACTTATAAGAAAAAACTTTTAAACCCGAATAAACCTCAAACAAATATAACTACATTCAGTAAACAAATTATCGAATACTTTAACTCCATTATATATATAAAAAAAAACAGAAAGAGAAAAAGAAGAAAATAAAAAGAATAAAAAAACTATTCTACACTTCTAAATAATATCTTAAACTTTAAATATAAATTATTCAAAAGCTAAATAATATTTTCTTATATCTTGAGGACTAGTCTGCGAATGACCAGCAAAATAAATTTAAACACACACACAGAGAGAGAGGGGGGAGAGAGAGAGAGAGAGAGAGAGAGACACTCAAAAGTAAATTTTACTTTACAAGTACGAGGGCCAGTCTTGGAATGGGTAAAGGAGAGAAATAGGAATGTTAAAAGTATCTACAAGAGAGTTAGGCGCTTTTCTGCTGTAGTTTGTGTTGCAGGAGTCCCCCAATGTTTGCAACAAGAGGACATAAAAGTCACTTCCCCATTTCCCAGGGAAACCTGTAAGGAGATAAATCATCGGCTTTGCCCAATGAACAGGTGGAAGAAATTTCCCTGGCTTCCAGTTCAGGTGTGGCTGGGTGCAGTTCCTAGATAGCCAGGAGGCCACAATCTCCCCCAGGCTGTTTTGCAGAGGACGGACACATCATTTTAAATTGAATTATCCCCTCCAGCCCCTAGGAACAGCCACGGCTTGTCACTTTGGTTGTGCCTGGACAGTTGTCCAAATCGGAGCATGGGCCCGGCAGTCACAGACTTCATATAACTTAAGGAGAAGCCACATTTTCCTTGCCTAAGAATGATTAAATAAATTATATCCAACTCAAAGTTAATTTAGGCTTAATACAACCTTCTCTGGAGGTGTGGTGGCTCAGCTAATCAAGGAATCTAGAACTAAGGAAAAACTTCCTGACAGTTAGAACAATTAACCAGTGGAACCACCTGCCTCCAGAAGCAGTGAATGCTCCAACACTGGAAGTTTTTAAGAAGAGACTGGACAGCCATTTGTCTGAAATGGTATAGGGTTTCCTGTCTGAGTAGGGGGTTGGACTAGATGACCTCCAAGGTCCCTTCCAAGTTTATTATTATTATTAGCAGTTAAAGGCGTTGGGCTTGTCAGATGGAAAGCCGATAGATAGCCTGTGTTCGAGACCCAAGTGCTGCACAATGAAGTGAGCTTTTGTTCTTCTCCCAGCTCCTGCCCATCCAGGAGTTTGAAAGCAAATGCAAGTAGATAAATAGGTACCATTTTTTCCCATGTGCCTGAGTGTATGTATGGTCATGCTGGCCACATGACCATGGAAAGGGTCTTTGGACAATGCTGTCTCCCTCCGCTAAGAAATGGAGATGAGCACCCCCCCCCCCCCTAGAATTGGCAACAACTGGACAGGGGAAATCTTTATGCTTACAACCTTCTCCAATTTGGATGGTCCCAGCGTAGGTGTCCAGCACTGGCTACGATGAGGCCACGTGTCATTCATGTGCAACCATTGTGTCATTTTTTTTTTTTTTTTGGTATGTTGTCATCTCACCATCGATGCCACTTCCCTTGAGCAGGCCTTGCTCTCCGGATAGGGATTTTAGCAAAGGATGTGTTGGCTAAGAATTCTGGGAATTGCAACCAATACATTGGGAAGGTACAGTATTGGTTCAAGTCTCAATGGTGGGAGGTGGGTTTAAGGAGGTTGTGGGATTCCAGCTCACAATCTCTTTGTGTTGTGGGAGACTTCATGCTTTTCTGTTTAGATTATATTCATTATTTGCAAAGATATGTACAGGCAAGCCTTGACTTATGAAAGAAGCAGAGCCTGACCATTACGGTCATAAGTTGTGATGGTTGTAAAGTGGATCATCACACTATTGGCCCAATTTTACAACTTTTTGTTGCAGCAGGCATCAAGTAAATGCATTGTTCACTATAGAGCATTTTGACCCAAAACTGGAAAACACCATAATTGCCAAGCACCCAAAATGCAGTCAAATCACCAAGGGGTAATGATGATGGTGTTTGTGGCCATCACAACATTGGAACCACATTTTGGGGGTTCCGTTCACGGCTATAAGTGACTTGTGGTGAGCATCCATGTTCTTCCTGGTGGCCTTTCAAACATGGTTTCTCTTTGAAACTGATCTTGATGTTGCTGAAAACTTCTTGCCACCAAACAAACAGGGCCTCCCCCCACCCCCAAAGGTCAGAATTAGATTTTTTTTTAAAGCAAACAATTAAAACACACATACTGTCAATTCTTCTCAGAAACTACATTTTAATGTAGTAGGAGGGACCAGGTTGGTCTATTTATCCAAACCTTTGAAGGAAGCCACTAGCACCTTTTCAGGTGGACATTTTTTTAATTATTATTAACAGACATGAGTTTTGCTTCTGGTTTTCAACATGGACTCATTTTGAAGAAAGGAAGGGCTGTAGGGCACACAATATTAGTTTCTTCCCCTTCTGACTCCCTCCTACACAAGCCGAGTCCTGCACAAGCAGTTTAACTCTCTGCTGGCTTTTGCGGCCTTCCACCAAAGGACTACGTTCTACATTTAGATGAATGGGCCTATTGATTGAGCTTCTCCTCGGCCTAAAGCTGAAGCCGGAGGGACTACATGGCCAAATTCTCTTTTTGTTTATTGCTGAACTAATGCCCCTTCCTGCAGATTTAAAACAAGCATGTTTGCCCAGAAGCTATTTTTACTCTCTGTGTGTAGGGAGCTTTCTTTTTCCACAGAGAGCTGCTGCATTCCACATACTATACCATCTCTCTCTCTCCCCCCACCCCAAAGGCATCCAGTCCAGCAAAAGCTTATGAGTTGATTTTGTGGAACGTTTATAAAAAAAGGGGGTGGGGAACTGTCTCATTTCAGTTTAGCGTTTCATTTTTCTCTTCTTTAATGGAAACGAACACCCAGAAAAATACGGCATACTCCATTGAATCCTCCAGGGAAAGATGGAAGGCAAACGAGGTCCAGGCAGAAGAAGAACATCATGGCTTCAAAATCTAAGGGACTGGTTTGGACAAAACTCAGCAGCACTTTTTTGTGCGGCTGCTGATTAAAAACAGGATCGCCAATATGATCGCCAATGTCCGATAAACGGATATGGCACAACAAGAAGAATGGAAATGAAAGATCTCTCATAAGTCAAGCTCAAAATCCTGTTATAGACATGTCAATGGTTTTTTTTTAAAAAAAATAATTGATTTCTTTGTGTTGCTTTTCTGGTCCCCACCCCGACATTTCCAGTCTCGTTTAGTTTCCTGATAGTCCAGTGTTTTTCAAATTTAACAACTTTAAGATGTGTGGACTTCAACTCCTAGAATCCCCCAGTTGGCACAGCAAACACTGGTAGCCTCACATCCAAAGAGAAATATTGAAACCTTCACAAGGTTTTCATCCTGGCATGCAAGTCCAAAGTTTATTTGGAGCTGTGCCGGGGTATTCACTTCTGTTCCTCATCCAGGTGCCTTGGGCAGCTCCATTTCACAAAAGACTCTTCCACCTTGTTTATTTCCACAAACATGAATACAGCCGTTTATTTTTTTTTAACTGCAGAAGAGGCTTAGCAGTTTGCTGGCGAAATAATAGCATAATACCCTTGAAATACAACAAGAGCTATGGGTGACTAAAAAGTAAGTAAATATTTACAGTTCTGAAAGAAAAAAAAAACTGTCATAGTCAAAGGGACCTAAAGTTTGTAAGATTTATATAAGGCAGAACAGGCCTAAATCAGCCCTGACTGTTTAATGATTTGCAAGACTGCCCCTGCTTATCCTTTTAATTGAATTGTGTTAACTGGGAAAACAACTGCATTTCACAATGGCAGACTCCACATTTGAATGATTTTGTCACTTGTTCATTCAGATTCTCTTTATATTCTATACTGGCTGTACAATGAAGCCCTACTAATACACAAAAGCAAAGATATGCAATATTTTTTTTTAAAAAAACAACCCAAAAGCATTTTTCACAGACTGAACGTCTTCCTGTTACAGCTGTTAAAAGACATGATTTTATTTCTTCCTTTATGAAGACTGGATCCCTTTGTTATATTGACCTTGAAACTTGCAAAATACTGATCTTGCAAAATTCTGAACTAATTAACCAACTACAGCTTCAACAGCACTGATAATTCTGTTTCCTAATCAGCCTAAATAGAAATAAAAAGATCACAGAGTTTGTTGAAAGATAATACAGATCACATCACCTGGCTGGAAATATTATGTATTTCCGTGGAATATGTTAAGCCCTTACAAAGCATCAGAAGGACAGAGAAAGCATATACAAAATTGTATCAAATCAGTCTAAAGGCCAGTTGTTCTGTTTTCAACAAGGCAAATTACAACAAAGCCATCTGAGTCCCTTTGGTGCTGTGTGGAGAAAATATTAACATCTGCCTTTATCTTTGCAATACTAAAACTCTCATGTCTGTAACCTTGGTTACAGTTGGATGAAATGGTGTATCGTAGGGCAAAACTTTTCAACCAAGGTACCTCAAATGGGCTAACTTCAGAAATGTGTCCAAAATCCGTGATCCATAACAATTTTCAAAGATGATTGTTGTTGTTAGTTGCGAAGTCGTGTCCGACCCATCGCGACCCCATGGACAATGTTCCTCCAGGTCTTCCTGTCCTCTACCATCTTCTGGAGTCCGTTTAAGCTCATGCCTGCTGCTTCAAAGATACATCCCTGAATATCTCCCTGAATTTTTAAGAACATGTCCAGTACATTAGAAGTTCCCTCCTCCCCCCTTCTCTCCCTCTCTCCTTTACAGAAGGCATTTCAAAGGCTGAGCGCCAAAGAATGGAGGCCTTTGAACTCTGGTGCTGGAGAAGACCCCTGCGAGTCCCCTGGACTGCAAGGCGATCCAACCGGTCAGTCCTAGAGGAGATCAACCCCGACTGCTCTTTAGAAGGCCAGATCCTGAAGTTGAAACAAGTACTTTGGCCACCTAATGAGAAGGAAGGACTCACTGGAGAAGAGCCTAATGCTGGGAAAGATGGAGGGCAAGAGAAGAAGGGGACGACAGAGAATGAGGTGGCTGGATGGAGTCACTAAAGCAGCAGGCGTGAGCTTAAATGGACTCCAGAAGATGGTAGTGGACAGGAAGGCCTGGAGGAACATTGTCCATGGGGTTGCAATGCGTCGGACACGACATCGCAACTAACAACAAAGAGGATCACATGGCCCCAAATCATACACTGCCAAGGTGTGTGGCATCTATTTTCCTGATGGATGAATCAGAGCGCGCACCCAGCATTTTCACTGCTCTTCAGCTGGGACTCCCTACTAGCATTTTGAGAATGTAGTTTGAGAAGGTAGGAGGCAATGAAAGGCTGAGACCCCAATCTCTACATTCTACAACAGTGTGTTAGCAAGCCTCACAGCTGTGAGTTTCTCATCACATTGCTCTATAATCCTTCAGCAACAACAGAACTAAGTACACAACCTCACAAATGCAGAGGGCAGGATCCTCATTGTTTTATTATCAATAATCAATACTTCTCTATAGAATAAGTATATTGAGTTTTGTTTTGATTTTATATCGGAATGAAGTCACATTGTGGGAAACGTCATCTGGGTTTTTGTTCTTAAAGTAACAATCAAACTAAGGTTTACTCTGGCAGCCTTTCTCCTTCTAAATTAATATATTTGCATCAAAAGAGCTTATAGATATGTAAGTTGTCCAACGATCCTTCAGATTCTCGAACATTAGACCAAGAATCTAATTGCTTCAAGACCCCCCAGTAAAATTTAGTGATATTGGAGTTGTAAAATGATCAGACATTTTTCATCTGCAACCAACGCAAAATTCTGCTTAACATTAAACAATACTATCCTGAATCACTGTAAACAGCTAGGCATCATTTGTGATTTCCTTACTTTTCTTTGGGATAAAAATGCAGAGAATTCAAAGGGATTTTTTTTTCTGGGAATCTGGCCAAGAAGAGGTTAAGGCAGTGATTCTCAACCTTTCTAATGCCGTGACCCCATAATACAGTTCCCCATGTTGTGGTGACCCGCAAGTGGGTGTGGCCACCAATAAGAGGGAGTAGGACAGCTAGGGAAAAGGGAAAAAAATGGCGGACAGCATGGTTTGGCGACCCCCGTGAAATGGTCATTCGACCCCAAATGGGGTCCCGACCCACAGGTTGAGAACCACTGGGTTAAGGGATGAGCAGCAGAACTAGAGCTGCTCATCTTTTAACCTCTAATTTTAACTCTGGGATATAAAAATTCAATGACCACTAGGGGCAGCGAAGAGAACCAGAAAACTGTATGTGCTGCCATCTGGTGGTCATCTGAATTTCGGCTGCCCAAATCTAGCAGTTCTAAGGAAAATAGGATAACCATCTCAAACTCTAGGCTGCAATCAACAAAAAGAGAGAAGATGAAAAAACTGACTCTCTGCCCTGAATTCAATCTGATTCACAAAGAATCTGTAGTAATTAATGATTATACCAATAAAGCGGAACCCAACACTTCCTGTAATCTGTTTTTCCATTTATTTCAGCCATAAAAAGACATGTAGTATTACAGAAATAGAATAAAGGTGGCATTTTGCAGAAAGACATTGGGAAGAGAAAGGCAGGCAAAGAGAACAATTTATACAAATGGTCTAACCTTATTTCTCAAGTTTCTGTATCTGAATGATCGCCTTCCTCCTGCACAGCAGAATGCAAATTATCTTGGTGTACCTCTTCCTTTCTTCCTCAGAAACAATTAAGCTGGATTATTTGATGCCAGGGAGAAAAATAAAATCAGGCAATAAACAAGCAATTCAACCAGAAGCTCACTGGGAAATGTTGACTTCTCTACAACAGGGCTCCCCAACCCGTGGTCCGTGGACCGATCCTAGTCTGCAGCGTGTCAGAAACTGGTCTGTGCAAACAAGTGAAGCCCCATCCACGGGATGGAGGCAGCACGCAAAACCATGCACTCTCTGGTTCATGGGAAAAACCCCTCTCCATGAAAACGGTCTCTGGTGCCCAAAAGGTTGGGGGCCGCTGATCTACATATTGCATAAGACATACAGCAGCTGGTTTGTTTTTGGCTTAGCTTCATCAATAGACCAGGTTACTATGGCTTGTAGAACAAACCATGGCTAAACATCTTGGCACAGACAGATCCTAGACATGATAAATTTGACACAAATGGGAAACAGTTAAAGTGATGGGAAAGTGAAGCGTGAGAGGGCTATACTTCCTTGGCCAAGCTGAATATTCTGAAAACAGGCAATGAAGAACAAGCTGTAGAAGACGACCCTTCTTGCTTTGGAAATATCTCATGTAAGACATATAACCATAGTAGGTGGAAAATTACAGATCAAGAAAATGTTCTCCAAAGGTAATGAATCCCTTCTCCACTATATCCTTGTAGGCTTTTCAATTTTTATTTTTTTTCCTAATCGCAGTGGGCAGAAAAGAACTATTACAACTCCCAATTAGTTTTTGTCTTATCTTACAACAATTCACAATAATACCTTGACATTCAACACAAACAGCTATGGCACCTGTAAGAAGAAAAAAAAAAAACAAACCAAAACCACAAAAACAAACCTGCTTGAATATTTGATTCTATCACCTCAAAAACAGTTTGAGATTCTCCTACTGATAACAATGTACATTGTACATTACATGTATAATTTGTCACTAGATTACTTAGAACATCAAGTGAATCAGATTCATGGTATACATCAGCACACAAAAATATGCATGAGAGACTCACATACAAAACCATGTGGTAGCCCATATATAAATGGCAGCAGCCAAGTTCCTTCGGCCTTACAAACACCAGGAGGATGGTAACACAGATTACCAGAAATGGCACTCTCCTAGGATTGGCAGCCTAGTGGATTTGCTACATCTTGGAAGTTGACCTTAAAAATTAAAGTGCTCTTCAAAATGTCTTCTTGATGTGAGATGACTGCAAAGAGGAGTCTGTTGCTGCTATGCAGGATGCAGCAATGCAAATGGGAGTAATCATCCACTGCCATGATTAAATAGCTTCAAATCAGTAGTGCATCCCACCTCCTACTTCTAGCATACATTCAAGAGTTTTTGTTTCACTTATTAAGGCAGGTGGTGGGTCTGGGCGGCGAGTTTGCGCGATCTTCTGTTTGGGATTTTTCACTTCCTCTTCCTCTTCTGTTTCACTTTCACACACATGGACCACAACACTTGGAGTGGATTCGGTTCCAGCATGAAGCTCGTACTTTTCCCCTAGAGAGTATGACAGCATGGTAAGCAACCCTTTATACCAGTGTTTCTCAACCCTGATGACTTTAAGATGTGTGGACTTCAGTTCCCAGCTTGCTTTACACTTGCCATAGTGACTGTAATCTCCCAAATTGCCTCTCATTCTATGTGCAAGGAAAGCAGAATCCTCCAGAACCATAAGCCTGGGGAAGTCTGCTGAAAGTGCGGTCAGAGCACTGAACAGCAAAGGTCTGTTATGCAGCAGGCAGGCTGGTACAGGGGCAATAGTCCCCTTTGAACTCTTAGGTTCAAATAGGTTCACAAATAGGGTCTGAAATCCAGTACTCTGTGGAACCGCATCTTTGCCAGCCACCAGAAACTCACAGGTAACTATAGCCATCCCGTCTCCCCTGCCCGAGACTGAGAGTGGCGCCATAGTCAAAACCTGGGTGGGCACATCATCCCAAGCTCTTGAGTGATCATACTTATTTTATACAGACTGATAATCTCTGGGGCCCTCCAGAGATATTAGACATCAGTGCCCCATTTCTGTGCTGGGGGAGCTCAAAGCCAATACAGTTCAAGGGCACCAGGTTGGGGAAGGATAATATAGATGTAAGCGATACAAATGTTATAGGATCTCACAGGACGTTGTCATAAACTGAGCACAAAGCCTCCAATATAATATTTTGAAACGCTCTCCGATAACGTCATGTATTAATGTTAACCAAAATGCCACATTTGGCATCTGCTGGACAATTTGCTATGGTTTATCACGAAAATCTGCTTTTATTATTTTCTATTAACGTAAGAACTTAAAAAAGCTCTGAAGCTGGAAGAGGCCAAGGTCCTACCTAGACCAACAAATTATGTTACAGATCGGCCAATTCATGGAGTTCACAAACTTGAAATGAAGATTAATTGGTGTCTTTTATTATGACTTAAAGGATATGTTGAGGCCTTTAATAGTAACTAAACATCCATCCAAGTTCATACTCATTAGTAGCCTGAGCCTTCCACAAACATGCCCATTTCCCCTCTAAGACTATCTAAACCAGTGGTTCTCAACCTTTTTAATGCCGTGACCCCCAACTGGTCGTAAGTTGAGGACTACTCAACCGGTCGTAAGTCGAGGACTACTCAACTGGTGCAGCATCGTTTGCAGAATGGGACTTTTGGCGGGCTCAGCAGGGCAGAGACAGCCTGGACAATTCCTATTGGCTTTTGAAAGCCAATAGAATTAGACTCTATTCAAGAGAGTCTATTCTATTGGCTTTCAAAAGCCAATAGAATAAAAGGGAGTAGCACAGCTAAGGAAAAGGGGGAAAAAATGGCAGACTGCGTTGTTTGGTGACCCCCGTGAAATGGTCGTTCGACCCCAAATGGGGTCCCGGCCCACAGGTTGAGAACCACTGATCTAAACGGATCATCATCTCTGACGGAGGTGAATTGCTCAGTACTAGGCCTTGTATAAAGACAGATGCATCAGTACAGAACATAGGAAAAAAATAAAACATTCCTACCAGGCCCCAGTTTTGAAACAGCGCAAAGCAAGTCATAGTTTATCATGGGAGTAGCATCTTCACTCTGCTTCCATCCTACAGGTGGGGATGCCGGAGGTGATATCAGGAACTGTTTGACAGGCTTGGGGGGCAAAAGGTAAGATTTGTCTCCCACTTCACTGGGAACCTGAACCTGAAACAAAAAATGCTGTCAGAACAGTAAGGCACATAATATGTCAGATTTTTTATAAAGTCTCTATAGTCCTGCTTTCTCCTTTAATATTTCCACCAAAAATGTTGGGAATTGTTGTATAATATATCACATCTAGAGGACACAAGATTGGGAAAGCTATAAAAATTATTTGGAGTTGTTATTTCACTGATTGGACAAGACACTTGATTCCAAGTGCATCGTGAATTTTCTTCTAGCTATTTGAATTAAACACTTACCAAGGTAGTTAGTAAATAATACATTGCTTGAGCCAAATTAAGGGTCTGTTTAAGTACCCATCCATTTTAAGTATCCACTTATTCAGTATTCTAGCAAGAAAGATCACTCCTGCTTTATTTTATAGCTGAATCAATCACTAAGCTTTTATCTCCAGCCATGGATGTAACTTTCCAATATTTTTAATAGCCTATGCACATTTATGGCAAATGTTGCTGAATTCTGAGCAGACTAGAATGAATCAAAAAGAAGGTGGGAAGATTCCAAATAGGGATTGCAAAGTTTCTTGCTTATTTGTGGGACTACCAGAATGGAAATAAAGAAAAGAGATATTCTGCATAACTGATGCAGGGCACAAAAATAATATCCTGTAAAAAATATTCTATTTTTTTTTTAATGCAGTATTCTTTGCCAAGTCCAGAACACTGTGTGTGCTTGTAGTATGGAGATTTGACAATCCTGATTCTCTGACCATTAAGATATAGCACATCACAACACAGCTGCAAAAAATGTAATGGTCCACATGCAGATGACTTCCCAGTAGACACGGTTTTCTCTATCCATTTTGTTTGGCAGCTGTCCTGATGAGTTATCCATGTAGGATGCATTTAACTTCTCCAAGTCTATTTTTGTGGTGAAAGAACTACAGGTACCCTATGAAAGGAGCATCATAAAGTAGGCAGGGTTTGCCAGTAAGGATTTCAAATGGGCTTTTAAAAGGTTAAGATAATTATACTATCTGACTTAACATAAACCTCATACAAACTGTTGTACTAACTAGTAGATGAAATGGAGGAGGAGTGAGGAGGGTCCCTGGGAACTATTTCTGTGCTTAACAGAGAGCGGGGGATTCAAATAAGAAACACATATACCTGGGCAAAATATAGCTTCAGTTTTTTCCCATTAAAATCTGTCTCATGGAGTTCTATCCGTGCTCTGGCTGCTGCTTCTGGACTGCTAAAGTTTATCCTTACTCTTCGGAAGCTTTTAAATAACTGGAATGTAACATGAGCATCGTAGATTGTGAAAAGTGCTTCAAATCTTTCCTAAGGATAGGGGAAAAAAATATATAACAAAGATACCTCAAAGCTTACTTCAACAAACAAACTTATCTAGAATGTTTCTTAGTTGTTTTTTTCTTTTTTTATGATACCTTGCATTGCAATATCTACAGAAAAACACAGGCTCAGTGAATTACAGGTTTTCTTGCATTTAAACAGCAATAACCTGTATTTAGAAGAGCACATAATGCTACATTATATTGCCATCTAGTGGTTGCTATTATCATTATTGTTTTTAAAGTAAAATCTGCACATTAATTAAACACTGTCATCAAGTCGATATTGACTCCCAACAATCACACAGATAGACTTTCTCCAAAGTAATCAGGCTCAACCCTTCAGGTTTACCAACGATGCACTCAATATAATCTGCAACTAGCATGATTTTCAAATATATTAGCGTCAGTCAGTTTTTCATTAAATAACTAATTGTTATAGCAATTCAGACTTTGAAAGCTTTTTAATTCACTATGGATTTAACATGGTTATAGATGAATCGTGCATATAGAGAAATTTTACCTGAGAATGCTTTACAGTGTTATCACAGTCACAGGAATCCCATGAAACCAAACACTGGAGTCGAGATATTATGCATTTTAAATATAATCCAGTGATATTAGCACAATGGGCATTTGAACCCAAATTTCAAATTTGCAAAACTAAGAGTTACTTGGACCAGGCTGAATCTGTAACTTGAAAAATGCCCTTTATGTCTGCTTCAAGGCAAATAGTTGGATGCTCTCACAGATTAATGGTTTGTACAAGGCATTAAGCTCATTTAATTTTCATATTAATAGGTTGGATTCACATATTACACGAAGCCCATGATTTTCAAACCATGTGCCAAGGTGCCTCAGGCTACCACAATTAACTCACAAGAGTAATGGAAAAATAACACAGCAACAGACTTCTAATGGATACTGCACAAACTTCCAGGAGCATTGTGGAAAAAATTATTGAGACACTAAGGGCAGCATGAATCAAGAAAGGTTGAGGACTTCCATATTAAAAACCATGAATCTCAGCATACAACAGCTGAGTTCACATAACTTGCCTAGGGTTGCAACCTTTGTGAAGGCTTGTGATTTATGAAGCCATTCAGTGACTGCTTTGATATAAACATTGCTTCTCATCATCACAGTTTCTCTCTTCCAGTATTCCAAATTTAGAACTGATGATCCTTCACAGGCAGATAGGAATCACAGTGTAAGTGGAATTCAGCAAGAATTCCTCTGCATTTATTATTTCTCTGTTCCTAAGTCAGAAAAAAAAGAAACATTCATCCTATTATCTCCCAGATACGGTACCATATGCTGCTTCACCCAGCTGATGAGTATTGATGTTGTTTTTCCCACAAACAGCCACACTGCATGCATTTTAGATTGATCTCTGGGTAGACAGGGCAATCAGAATTGTAGTGCATTTCCAATGTTGACCTGATAAGCTAAGCATTTCTGTTAACTCCACAGGCAAGATCATATTGAACATGAGAAAAATAAACCTAGTACAGCATGTGCTTCTTAAGTCAAGGGAAGATTTACTGAAGAATTTATGAAGGTATGTTCTCCATGCCTAATATAGCTGTACCTCTTACTTTCAAATGGAAAGTTTTTACTTATACAGATTTTTTTATTTCCAAAAAGGAGGGATTAACTATTATTTTCTTTCTTGTCTTCTCAAACAATAAAATCATCACTGACCTTAGCATACAGGCTTCCTCCCTCAGCCTAGACCACCTGACAGGGTTGTTATATGAATAAACTGGGAGAAGGGAATCCTGTATGCTTTCCTTAACTGTCAGCACATGAATGAATGAATGAGAGTCGCTTTGGTGTAGTGCAGGGGGTCTTCACACTTGGCCCTTTTATGACTTGTGGACTTCAACTCCCAGAATTCCTCAGCCAGCATGCCTGGCTGAGGAATTCTGGGAGTTGAAATCCACAAGTCATAGAAGGGCCAGGTTTGAAGACCCCTGGTGCAGTGGCTAAGATGCTGGCCTAGAAACCAGGAGATAATGAGTTTTAGTCCCATCTTATGCATGAAAACCAGCTGGGTGGCTTTGGGCTGGTCACTCTTTCTTAGCCCAACCCACCTCACAAGGTTGTTGTGGGGAAAATAAAAGGAGGAGGAAGGAGTATTGCTATGTTTGCTGCCTTGAGTTATATATTAAAAAAGTGGAATTAAAAAAAACACTCGGGGGGGGGGGAAGTAATCACTTTTTGTGATCTAACTCTGAATCCTAGCACAGATATAGCTCAAAAAACCCTACGTCTTTCACAGTGATGACGAACCTTTTAGAGGCCGAGTGCCCAAACTGCAACCCAAAACCCACTTATGCATTGTTGGGTGCCGGGTGGGTGTGGCCCATTGGCTGGATGTGGCCCATCAGGTGGGCGTGGTAACGGCAGACTGGGTGGAACTAAAAAGTTCAATCAATCACTTCCGGTGGTTCCAGCGATGACGAATGGCGGCGTTTTACAAAGCCGCCCGTTCCTGGTGCGTGTAAAAGCCGCGGGACTTTGACAATCAGCTGTCCCGCGGCTTGAATCTCCTCCCTGGGAAAAAGGGAGGAGGAGAGCTCTCAGGTAGAGGTAAGAGCTCCCCTGGATTCCTGTTATTTTGGGGATCGGAGGGTAGAGCTCCCTCGGAGCCTGAGCAACTCCGCGTTCCAGGGAGACTTCATTCCGAAGTTTTTGGGATGAAGCAAGTTGCCGCTTCCACATCTGCTTTTTTTTCCAGCTGCTTGTGAGTATTTGAAAGCAGACAGAGCAGACCAGGAGAGACTGTGCTTAAGTTTGATGGTGCCTTTAACTTCAGCAAGTTTCCTCTTCCTTTTCTTTTGTTCACTTTCCCTTTAGAAGATTTGCATTACAGAGTAAAACCTGGATACAGATTAACTCTTTAAATACAGAAGTAAGAATTTGGCTTTTATTCTTTCCTCTTTTTTTCTCTATTTTTTTTTCTCTTTTTTTTAAGAACACTTAAAAGAACTGTGCCCTTTTTTTTTTTCAATAAGAATCTTTCTTCTTGGAACTTAAGAAAATGGCTTCAAAACGTCTGCCTCCCGCCCCTAAGGTTCCTATTTCTTCTCCAATGCCTCAGCCTGCATCTCAGAAACCAAAATCACCTCCACCTTCTCCTCCTCCTCCTGCAATTTCTCTTAATGATTTACAAGATGCTTTAAAACAGCATGCCTTGGATATTAAGGAGGTAAAAGATCTTATAATTGCAGAGAGGGCTAATACAGAAGAATTATTGGAGAAAAAGAATAGAGACCATATCCTTCTGGCCTTTCAGGGCCTAGCCCTGCACATAGAAAGGATTGATGACCAGATGGAAAAGATTACTGAAAATGCATCAAGGATGGAATTTAGAATGCAGGAGGTAGAGAACAAGATAGAAATTACACAGGATGAACAAATCATTTCACAATATAGGGAGATGGAACACGCATTGCGTATCAGAGGCCTGAGGGAGAACCCTCAGGAAGACTTAAAGATGCTTATTGTGAAAGATATTGCTCCTAATATTGGTTGGCGGCCTGAAATAATTGAGAATGAGATAGAAAAAATTTTTAGAGTTAATTCACGGGTTGCTAGACAGAGAAATCTACCAAGAGATGTGGTTATTTATTTTTCTAGAAGATCTATCCGTAATGAAATTATACAGGCTTTTTACAAACAAAAGTTTCAAATTGCTGATCAAGACGTGATAATTTTAAAAGAGATACCTCCAAAAATTTTAAGAGCCAGAAAAGATTTTACTTTCTTGTCTGATGAGTTGAAACATCGTCAAATTCAGTTCAGATGGGAGATTCCAAGAGGAATAATAGTAAATTATGAAGGGATACGTCACAGATTAACTACTGTTTCCAAAGCAAGAGATTTTTATCAGTCTATCTTAAAAGCAAGATTGTCACCACCTCCACAAATAAGGATGACGGAAGAGTCTCTTATGGCAGGAGCCTCATCAATGATGGTTATGGAACAAGCTGCACCGAATTCTGACATAAAAGAGCAAAGGATGACACGAGCTGCCCATAAACGTAAAGAAAAAGAGCAGTTGCAGAAGAGTGGTGAAAGTTTGGTTGTTACAGAGCCTGTGGGAGGGGCAAGACCAAAAAGATCTTCGACAGCAGATCTGCAGGCCATGCTCCAGAGGCTCCAGGCCGGTGGAGATGGTCAGGTTCCTGACCTGGAATGTTAATGGCTTAAACGTGCCCCAGAAACGAAGAAAGATTTTCCATTATTTGAAACAACATAATAATGATTTGATATGTTTGCAGGAGACTCATATAACTTTAAAGGATTCTAAATTTTTGATGAATTCCCGTCTGGGCACACATTTTACTGCTCCAGCCCCTGGGAAAAAAGGGGGAGTGGTAATTTATGTGAAGAAAACTTTTTCAGCTAAACTAATTGAGGCTGATTCTGAAGGAAGATATCTTTTTGTGGAATTATTATTACAAGGCCGAAAGGTTCTTATTGTTGGACTATATGCTCCCAATCAACAACAGAAACAATTTTATAAGTTGCTGCATGGCAAGATATCTCAGTTGGATTATAAATCGGTAATTTTGATGGGTGACTGGAATGGGGTTTTAGACCCAACTATAGACAAAAGAAGTTCCTCTAAAACTTTTATTCAAACTAAATTACCTATGACTTTCTTTGATTTGAAGGAAGAATTGGAGCTTATTGATATTTGGCGAGAAAGGAATACAAGTGATAGAGACTTTACCTTTTATTCTGATAGACACCAGTCATTTTCAAGGATTGATTTTTTTTTGATTACTAGTGACCTCCTCCCTAGAGTGAGGAAGGTGAAAATTTTTCCTAGAACATTGTCAGATCATAGTCCGGTGTGGATGGAGTTATATTCGGAAGACGGGAATAGAAGATCCTGGAGATTGAATGAGAACTTATTTAATCGGGAGGAGTTCGTACAAAAGTGTAAAGAACATTTAAAGGACTTTTTTACTATAA